ACCCAGGAGGCTGAGGCCTAATGACTGTATTGAGCCCAGGACAGCCTGGGAAACAGCAAAATCATCTCAAACAATCAATAAATGCAGATGGAAGTAACTAAATATGTGCCAATGCTATCATTTTCAGATATTAAGAATTTTAAATTACAACTAAAGTTAAATCACAAAACACAATTAAACTGAAAAACAAAATTAAACACAAAACACTAGTAACAAACTGCCTAAAATTCACCATCAATTCCAGTTCTATTCAAAGGCCTTTGCTTTCTATAGCAACAAGAAACTCATAATTTCACAATTTTAAAAATGCTTTGACATCTAATTAATCTAACTTAACCTAGCTGTGGGACAAATTTTTACTCAAATACAAAGAAACATGATTTCTGGCATTTTGTCCCCCTTTTTTTAAATTACAAAGATAGTCCAAACAAGTTTTACTGTATTTTTTTAAATCCAACAAGGCATTCAGTTAAAAATTTATATTCCTCCAGAGGCCACAGAGAGAACCACAGCTATATAGATATGTGTAACTGCAGATAACAGGTGTATTCTGATACGCTGTAATATGAATACATTTTTCTTACTAGAATCCATTATTTATTTGTTCAACAAAAATTTGCAGTGGCAATATACTACACACACACACACACACACACACACACACACAAACACACACTCCTACTTGGTGCTTCTTTACACATAGAGAAGGGCCTATCCTACTTTCCAGAAGAGATAAACAGGTACATAAATAAATACCTACAAAACAAGGTAGAAATTGTAGCCACCAATGAGAGATTTGCAGATAAAGCATTACTGGATCACAGAGCTGTTACCACCTCATAGAAAGGACACTTTCAATTGTTTAAAGCAATTTCCTATTAGAATTGGAACAGCCAACCTAGGAGGGCAAATATTTCCCTAATATTAAAGATGAGGAAACTGAACCACAGATAGGTTGATCGTGCTCCAAAATGTCACAGTTACAGCAAGAATCAGAACTCAATACATTACATTTTCTCTGGGGTTGTAATTCAACATATGGCAAGTTTTTTGTAAGAGTGTTTTGGTATTGCAAAGAATCACTCCTAGTGTGTGATACAGGTACCTTGGTTTTCATTAACTGATGTGCTTAAAGCAAGGCAAAGCAACTAGGAACTTTAAATATTAAAATAAACAACCCCCCATTCCATTATTTTAGTGGGATAAACAAAAATAAGATTTCTCTCTAGCAACTTGTGGTTATTTCTTCTGTAAGTTTTACCTATGTCTACATAAGATTCTAAAATGAGTCTGATCCTGAGCCCAGGCAAGTACAAATTGGTTCATCTAATAAATATTTTTATGGAGGAGTACATAAAAACATTTCAAAAATCTATAAAAAATTACAGCAATGCCGTCTACTCTTCAGTTATTCACAATCACAAGTGACCCAGAATCATCAACAGCTATTGATCAAGATATGCTGAACAAATGAATGAATATGTGTAGGCATTTTAAAATCCCAGGCCTGTTGCTCTTTGCACACTGCCATGTTCAGCCTCCCATCGCTGCCTCACCCGGGTGCACACAAGGAATGTAAATTTCGATATAATTAGGATATAATTAGGCAAGCAAATTGATGCAGGTGAATATACTAATCCCAAAGATTAGAATTACCCATACTACTGCTTTCCAAGGTTAACTCTGTTGAAGACAGTGGCATGCAACCGTGACATTTCCTGAGCAAATACTTTTCATAAGTATCAGTTACTCCCAACCATTCCTCTAATATATGACTACTGATCCAGTTAATTTAATGAATTCAGTCTCTTCCCTGTTAAGGCTCATTTCTTATTTAGTTTCTAAAATCCTTCTGCGCCCCAAAACGAGGTGCATTCGCCCGTCCGGCCCAGGAAAACACCAATAATAAACGGCGGAAGGTAGAGTTCGGATCTTTCCACGCTCCACCACTACCCACCCTTCGCCATTATTACAGCCTGAAGAGGCCTGGTTAGAAAGAAAGGTAACTAGTTTGATCTTCACACACTTGCTCGTCGCTGTCACCCTCCACAACCCTTTCTACACTCCCAAGACGGCCACCAACTCCAGCTCTGACCCCAGGCCCGCCATCTGCGCCAGCCCCACCCGGGGACCCGGCCCTCGCATCCCCACGGCCTGCCCTGCAGGCTCCGCACGCCCCCTCCCCACAGGACACCTTGGGGACGGCCCCCACCCGGCCGCAGCCCATTCTTCCTCCAAACTCCGTAAGCCTTCTCCTGCTCAGCCCG